GAGCTTCCTCAAGGCCTCCTTCATGTCCCTGTTCCTCAGGCTGTAGATAAAGGGGTTCAACATTTGAGAGACCACAGTGTACATCACTGAGGCCACTGCAGAATTTCTGGGGGAGTCCGTCACTGCAGAGCTGATGTACACTCCAAAACCTGTCCCATAGAACAGGGAGACAACCGACAGGTGAGACCCACAGGTGGAAAAGGCTTTATACTTTCCTCCTGATGATGGCATCCTCAAGACAGAGGACACAATGTGAGTGTAAGAGAAAATGATCCCAGAGATGGAAATAACAGCAAGGACACCAGTGACCAGATAGACCAGCAGGTTATTGATGAGGGTGTCAGAACAGGCCAGCTTGATGACCTGAGCAAGTTCACAGAAGAAGTGAGGGAACTTCAGGGCTGTGCAGAAGGACAGTCGCAGCACCGTCAGAGTGTGGAGGAGGGCATTCACAGAGCTGATGAGCAGGGAGATCAGAATCAGCAGGACACACAGGAAGGGGCTCATGATGACATTGTACCTCAGCGGGTAACAAATGGCCACATAGCGATCGTAGGCCATCACTGTTAGGAGACAATTTTCTAAAACAATAAAAATCAAGACAAAGCAGACCTGGGAGAGGCAGCCTGTGTAGGAGATGTGCTGATTCTGTGCTTGGATGTTCACCAGCATCTTGGGGACTGTGGTGGTGCTTAAACAGATGTCATTGAAGGACAGGTTGGAGAGGAAGAAGTACATGGGGGTGTGGAGGTGGGCGTCAGAGCTGATGGCCAGGATGATGAGCAGGTTCCCCAGGATGGTGACCAGGTACATGCACAGGAACAGGCTGAAGATGAGGGGCTGCAGGGCTGGGTCATCTGTCAGTCCCAGAAGGAGGAATTCTGAAACAGCTGTGTGGTTTCTAGTGTTCATGTTGTTGAGAAATCTGAAAGAAATATTGGGTAACAAGGAAAAATGTATGGGCAAAAGCAGAAACACACTTAAAAAAACACACCTGCAGACACAATGGTCTTTTTATTTCTAGAATTCAGAACTGTACAAAAATGAAATTCTGCTTTTATGCCAACCTATCTGTGGTACTTGGCTAGGGCAGCCCTACCAATTAGTACATTCACAAATTCACTTCTCAACATCTGTACAGTATCCAAGTGAATTTCAGAATATGTTAAAAAAAAAAACATCATCATTGCTGTACAGAGTTCAAGATGAACTTCACGCAGAATGGGGACTTCTTGTAGACAGCTCACAAGAAAGGCGGGGGACCCTGTTCCTCCCTCCCATTTTGCTTATCCCCCCGCAACTGTTTCCAAGGACAAAATTCTAGCGACATACTTGCTTTCAATTCCAAAGCATTTCCTAAGCCATCTGTATTACCTGGCAGCTTCAAGAGGAATGGTTTCAGCATCTCAGAGCATTCACAGAGCTGATGAGCAGGGAGATCAGAATCAGCAGGACACACAGGCAGGGGCTCATGATATTGTGCCAGATATTAACTATAGAAGACTTGTCCTCAGGAAATGCAGAGAAACTAAACGAGCCAACAGGATCCTGTTCCTGAGGAAGGGGCCCGGTCACTGTGACCTGATGAAGCAGGTCTGTTGAGTGAGGTGGTCACGGGCTGACTCCTATGCTCTTTATTTCCCTGGGGCTCAAGATCCAAAGCTCCTCGTTAGACCAGTAATTTTACAATCATTCAGATCCCAGGAGTGCATACGTTTAAAGACCAGGAGGATAGAAAATAGAAATTTGGAATGACTGACTTTCTGACCCCAGAGGTCACATGGACACAACTCAGTTCTCCACAATTTTTTTTTTCTGATTGTCTCTGTTTTATGGATCTAGCCTTCAAAACTCAATGTTTTCCAGTATAGTTACTAATACCAGGAACACTGATTCCTGTCGTAGATGTAGCCATATGCTTTATATTTGTGGACATAAAGAATGGAATTATATTAGCTAAGATGTCATGAAAACACAAACATCCAGGAAGTGTCTTTACCAATGTCACACGGATGTGGAATGAACCTTGATTTTTATTTTTTATGATTGCACAGATTATCATACTGTATCCCAGCATATTGACCCTAATGATTGTATTGATTCTAATCAATGTTGATTGACAAAAATATGGATACAAAAATAAATTCATGATTATAATTCCATAAATACTTAAGTCCATAAATATTTTTTTAATCTTGTTACAACATTTTGGAAAATTTTTGAGTTGAAGTAGAAAATTTTAATTAAAGTGTTAATTACAAAATCATCAAAAAGTAGCACAGTACTGATGTGTCCGTATACTCAGACATTTCTGCTCACTTTGAAACTTCTTATAATTAAGGACTTCAATATTTCCTGAGTTTATCATCACATTTTATAAACACAGCATCCAATCATGTTAAAAATGTTTAAAATAATGTTAAAAATCTTCCCCCAGCAAGAACTTACCTCAACTAAGCAAACAAACAAAAGCTACAGAGTCTTCAGAATGGGAAAAGATATTTCCCACCTGATCGTCAGATGAGGCAATAACATCCAGAATAAATTTAAAAACTCAAAAATCATAAATGGAAAAAAATCAAATAACCCATTTAAAAATGGGAAAAAGAAGTAAACAAAAGAAGAAATGCAGATGGCCAAGAAGTATATGAAAAAGTATTCAATACCTTTAGCAATTAGAGAAATGCAAATCAAATTTACGTTGAAATCCAGGCAGAATGGCAATTCTCAAGAATACAAATAATTATGATGTATCAGTGAGGACTTGGGGGAACAGTACACTCATTATTGTTGGTGGGACTGCAGATTAATACAATCACTCTTGAAAGTAGTATGGAGATTCCTCATCAAACTAGAAATGGAACCACCATAAGACCCAGCTATCCTACTCCTGAGTATATACCCAAAAGATCTAAAATCAGCATGCCATAGAGATTCATCTGCATCAGTGTTCATTCTGTACCCCGATATGCACCTACACCCACACCTGCTGCTTTGATGAGACAGACTTCATAATCACTACCTGCAGATTCAGTCAAAACTTTAAGCTGAGGGATTATTGTGCTTATTTTCTGTCAATAGATAAGAAGAATGAGTGAAAAATAGAATATGCAAGATGTTGGGAAAAATAAAGAGGAACCACAGCAACACATTAATATAACCTTAACTGAATCCTATGATGATAATGACACAACCTCCTAACTGTAGGGTCCAGGAAGCCGGTGAGCCTGCAGGACTAGGAATATTGCATAGAGCAGAAAAAGACACTGGGAAATGTGTGCCATCACAGGTTAATAACTGTTAGATTTGAGGAAATTGAAACATTGGCTCAATACAAGAGGCTTGGCAGGGATCTCAGACTTGTCAAATGCCATGTTCTTGTTATGTAAGATGAACATGATAAATGGTTGATAATCTCCTTACGTCTCAAACTTGGTTAAGGAAAGCTGTAGAATTTGGCCTATAATTCCACTCCAAGATGCAACTTTTATTTGCACCAAGAAATTAAAAGACAATATTCATTCAGCTTTATTCACAATGACCGAAAATAGCAATCCAAGTTTCTTTCCTATGAGAAAGACTACTTATTTATTGGTGATTATTAGATACCATGTAAAAACAGAGATCACTAAAAATAAATGAATAGATGCTATACATCCAAACGTGGAATATCACAACTACACTGATGGTAGGAACAACAGAGACACAGAATGGGTTCATTACCATTAAGCTCCATCAAGGTAGGAAAGAAGTATATCGATGTAATGAATTATACAGACATGTACATGAAGTGATAGTAATGCACTAGATTATTTTGAAATTAAATATTTTGGACAAAATTGTATAACACAATTGAAAGCTGGTTATATTCATGTGAATGTAAGTAAGTCAGCTAGTCATACTCAGAAAAGACCTTTTTTGAGGGGTTGAAATATTACATTTCACTGGTTGAATAGGTGGAGCAGGGGAAACAGTGCTAGAATAAAAATTGAGAACACTAGTGCATGAAACTAATTTGTTAGGAATGAATTATAGAAGTAAGAATTAAAAATATCATTCTGGTTTGATCTGAGGTGGGATATTTAGAGGGTTGGCAAGGATGTAGTTGCCTGGGGCTCCTAGTAAGTCATGGAAGAAGTGTATTATAGTTACTAAGAATATAATAAAAAATAATACTGACCCTAATATATCTAACTGTGTAGTAAGAGTGAAATGATATTTTAGCTGAGTCTATTGTTACATCTTGATGGAGTGTCAGACTCTGCTTTGTGTAGAAATAGCAGGTGAACTATTACAACAGCTGGAAGGATAAATGGGGAGATGAAATGAAGTGCAAAAAGCAGAATCACTTTGTCAACTGAAAATCCACCTCAAATTCATTCTATAAGATTAGTACTGACACAAGGGATCGCTGAGAGGAGATTAGTGATTACCTTACCCCTCAGAGGGATATTGGTCCTTGTGGCAAGACACAGCCTATGAATGTTGTTGCTATGACTGCAAAGAGGAGCAGAATTTTAAAATTTCATGTTTCAATAGAGGTACAGGATCCACCATAAGGACCTCTGCCTACATGAAGGAATAAGCGGAATAGAGAAGAATCGAGAGGCACCATTGACATGCATATACGGCATTAGTCATGGGTGGCAGTGAACCTCTCCCACAGACGTGTACAACAGAAGAAAATGCTGTTATTGTGCGTAATGTATAGTGTATAGTAGGAAAGGTCCAGTAAGAATTTAGATGATTAGGGATATGCCTTAAAGGGATCCAAAGTTTCCCCATACTGAGATATTGAATAAGGTTAGAAGGCCAATGAGTGAACACTTAATTATTTTAATTAAAGGGTTGGTTTTGCTGATTTGGGTCTTTATAGTTTCTGTAGTACATTAACGATGATGATTTCCATGTTATTAGTTATGTTTAAATTCCACATACAAATAATATCATATGCTGCATTTTTATTAGTATAATTGTTTTTATAATTTTATTAAGTATAATTTAGACATGCAAATGCTAGGTGACACTGATTAACACCAGTGACAACAATTACTAATCTGAGAGGCATAGAAGTAGAGGATGTAATCTTTTATTTTTAATGTCCTTCTGTGTCAGGGCACAGGGTAGCAAGGTCTTAAAGAATTTTCTTCAAAAGTGTCACATTTATGGTGGACTAGGTTTAATTGTTAGTGGAGGAATTGGATATGGAATCGTAAAATAGTTTGGTGGATTTTTCTTGGGGTTAATAGTTTTTAAAAAATATTTATTTAGGGGACTGCAATAATGTTTGGGTATAATACAGCTATCGCTACAGAAGAATATCCTGAGACTTGAGGTTCTATTATGATTTGAAGTGCTTCATTGCTAGAACTTTTAATGGTATTATTATTGGTTCTCTTATGGATGTATATGATGACCTGGAAGATGTTATTCAGTTTAAGAATTTAGAGCATTGGGTTATGTTTGGTAGAGAGGAGCTTGGTTTAATTCATGAAGTCTACATATGTGACAGCTTTATATAGTTACGGAAGTTGATTAATGATTGTAGCCAATCAACCCTTGCTTGGTAGCATTTTTCTTATAATTGAAAACACTTGTGGGAATTAAAGAATAATTCCTAGGAGTAAAATGATGGATGGCAGGAATGCTCAAAAATATACTTTGATAGGTCTTTTATGTTTAGAGGTGATAGTTGAAACTGTAATTTGAGTGTGGGCAATAGATCTCAAGGGTGTTTTTCCTAATCAGATTAGATGTAATAGAGTTGATGCTGATTTGGGACCAAAAGTAAATTGAGGTGGGGTGATGGTCAGTGTATAGGAATTGAAAACTATCTTAATATGGTTGTAATTTAGGGAATTTTGAATAATATTTGTTAGTAGATTCACTTGTACTGTGATGGTAAACAACACCATGGTAGTCAACGGGGCTGAAATTTTTAGAGGCAGTGGTGTGGTAATAAATGGGGTATTTATAGGGGAAATATTGATAGAAAGGAGAAATCCTGGGAAAATTCTGCCAGTTGTAAGGCGTTTAATTGAATTAAGTAATAAAGGGTTGTTTTCATTAAGTAGTGTTGAGATTCATGGCGATCCTAGTAGAGCTAAGGAAATTAAGGTGTGTACTGTAGACAGCAGTGAGGGACTTGGCAATGCCAAGTGATGAATAGGGCTCAGAGGTGGATACACAACAGGTGTGCTGACACCACAATTAGGTCTTCAGAGTAGAAACCCGTTAGAAGGACGTTCCTGAGAAGGCCAGGATTCTCTGATAAGTGAGGATGAGTACATGCTAAGGCTTAAAATAAACCTCCTATTTTTCAATGCCCTCTTTGTCATTCAGGTTATGGATGAATTTTCCAGAGCATATTAATAGCAAAACTTTAAAAAAATGCATGGGTAGAGACATATAAATGCTAGAAGACACTAATTAGCACCAGTGACAACTATTATTAATCTGAGAGGCATGGAAGTGGAGGATGCAATCTTTTATTTTTAATGTCCTTCTGGGTTAGGGCACAGGGTAGCAGTAGCTCTTAAGCATACGGTGAGTGTTTGATCAGATGAATTCTGGAAGCAGAGCAATGGGAAAGAGCATAGAGATGAGAATCACCATCCTATGTCACAGAGCTGGGCAAATGCCAAGTCAGATCAGAGCCCAGGTTGACATGTATTTAGGCGACCATCACAGCCATTGTGGAAGGTGTGG